TGATGGTGCAGTAGGTTAAGCATTTGGGCTGCTACCTGAAAGGTTGGCATTTTGAGCTTACCAGAATGATAAAGCAGTCTGCTTCCATGAAGATTTACAGCTTCAGAAGCCCTATAGAGAGTCTGTTCTGTTCTCTGTGGTCATTGTGAATGGGTAGCAGTAGATGTGTGTATGTGTGTGTGTTGCTATATAGTTTTATAAAACCAGTTACTGTCAAGTTGATTCTGATTCATGGTGGCCCATATGTTTTAAGGTGAAACTTCTCTATTGAATTTTTAATGGATTTGCTATTTCAGAGGTAGATCACCACACTTTTCTTCAAAGGTGCCTCTAGAATTAATTGGAATTGGAAGAAGAAAAACATTGTTTTAAGTATGTGGGATAATTTTCTTCATATGATTAAATAGCTTTTTAAAAATTTCAATGGGAAGTGTTAGTTTAAAATTTTTAAATGGATAGATGATCAGGGATATCATAACCAAAATGTAGTGTTTGTGGGAAGAATTTGAGAATGTGTTATCTGTCAAACTATTAAAGGAAGCATAAGGGCTGGGGTTTCTAGGTATTTCCTTTAACTGCAGAATCCATTTTTTCTAATTGTACCTGGCCCTCCAGGCACTGATCTGAGTAGGATTGCTGTGGTGGACAGGGGGGGGATCTCATGTGGAGCAGGAGCTCTTGGAGTTTGAGGGATAACTGTTTGAAAACCCTGCCAGAGAGGAAGATCATAACTCTGGAACGCAGGCAGTCCTTCACCATTCTGGCCTCATGTCTTCATCCACTAAGTAGGTACAAGTAACTTCTGATCCACACTACCTACGTAATGTTAGACTGAACTTCCCAGATTAAGGGCTCAAACTTCCGACTGCCAAATCTACCCAAACTTCAGATACCAGCCACAAGTTCAAGGATTCCCAGGGCCACTGTGCTCCAAATTTAGGGGTTCCAACTATTGAAGTTCACTAATTCTCTATTTGACTCACAGAGTTTTAGAAAAACACTATATTTATTACAATTGTTACAGCAGAAGGATACAAATCAGGACCAGCCAAAGGGAGAGACTGAGAGGGCAAGGTCTGGGATCCAGTACTCTGGAGCACTCACTGTGGGTCAAGTACTGCGTAAGTGTTTTGAAATGATTACCTCAGTTAATCACCAAGCAAGCCTAGACGAATTTGTTTCTCTTTACTTCATTTTACATATAGAGAAACTGAAGCAGAGAGGGCAAGTAATTTACTGAGGATCACATGCACTAAGAAATGGCAAGTTTCTGTGACCCTAGGGAAACACGTATCTTCCTGGAACACTGATGTATGCAGAATATTCAGAAAAGCTCATCTAAACTTCAGTGTTTAGTTTTCATTGAGGTCTCATTATGTAGGCCCAATTGGATAAGTAATTTTGATTGAAGCCCATCTATATGATTGAAATCCATCTTCAACTCCCTTTCCCTTCCCCAGAGGTTGGCTGACAACATGTGGTACATCTTTCCACTGCTCTTGGCCAGTCTCCACCACCAGTTACCTTGTCAGCATAAACTATCATGTGATCAGAGGGTCTACCTTAAGTAGCCATGTCATTCCCATCACTGGGGAAGTTCCAAGGGTTTAGAGATCGCTAGGAATTGAGGACAAAGCCAAACAGTTAGATCTTCCACAATAGGGAAAATGACAATATCATTCTTGTCACAAAGAGAAACTTTGGTCGGCAGAGAATCAGACCAGCTTGTAGAGACTCCTCAGAATCCAGAGCAGTGCTAGCACATGTTTAGTTCAGTGCTGTTTTAATGGAAAAACCATGAATGGGTGGCTCTAACAGATTTGTTTTCTTAGTTTAGGAGACTAGAAGTCCAAATTCAGGGCACTGGCCCAAGGGGAAGGTGTCACTCTCTGTTGACTCTGGAGGAAAGTCCTTGTCTGTGCAGCTTCTGCTTCTTTGGAGAAGTCCACGTGTCCTGTGTTTTAAGGTACAAAGGAGACCCCAATCTCAACTATAAGGAGAACATTGATTGTCTTAAAGGAACAAAGACACAGACACATCATCCAGATGAGGGAGGCCAGAAGCATGAAGTCAAAATGGCATCCGAGGATTCAAGACAGGACGCTAGTTAAATAAGGAAATTGTCACCAATTCATGATTGGTGGCAAATCAATACATCATAATTACAGGTGGGACTACTGAAACAGGACCATGATTGGGACACATACATTAATGTTAGATAGAAGGGCTTACAACAGTGTTTCTCCACCTTCCTAAT